CTGTAATAAGTGCTCCTTTTAAAAGTTTGCTAAAGTGTACTTCTTTTTTCGCAGGGGTCGGTAACATAATGCGGAAAATTGGTTTAAGATTGTGAAGCCAGGTGCACAGACAGGAGAACGACGGGTGTTCTGTGAGCCACTTAATCCACAGAAAGGCAGTGACATGGACCGACCAAAAGCATAAGGCCACACCCCATCCTGTGCTGGTCAAAACGCACCAGCGCACAGCAGTGTGTTTGTCATTAGCCTCCCGATGGGCTGGGCTCCAGTGTCAGGATGGCAGCAGGCCATTTGAACAAGGAGGTGAAAGAAGTGGACAACTGGAGAGGGAGGAGGAATAAAAGGTAGAGACTGCTGGTGGAAAAGAAAGAGGGCCTAAGGTGAAGACTGTACCTATGAGGGATCCACGCTCTCAACACAGATTGATGGAGGGTGGAAATTCTCAGCATGGAGGGAATGTGTGTAAATCGTATGAGGGACTTGAGGCACAAAGGAAGAATCCCATCCCAATGGAAATAAATGAGAGAGATGCTTGAAAATGGGGGGACCTGCAGTAGCTCCCGCCATGATTTTAGAATGGCAAGTATTACAGGAGTAGATTACCCCAAAAACTAACATTCTTTAATTATTTACTCATACTTGTTCCATTACAAACCAGTATGTTGTTGTTTTCAGTGCAACACAAAATGAGAATTTTTGAAGAATCTATTCACAGCACTTTTTCCAAATAAACTGTCCTGCAGCTAAGACCCCATTTCCAGTAGTTCTCAATTTCTGGCTAAATAATGCAACTATGCTAATTATGGAATACCATCATTTTGGCCCACAGTAATCAGAAAAATGTTACAAATTATTCTAATGGGATCATGTAGCGCTGCGAAAAATAGTTAATGAATACACTCTAAAAATGACCTGTTGCCACACCTTAAATAAATGCATGGTTGCAATTTAAAATTTCTAATTTAATAATTTCATTAAACCTTTTAACTTGCAAACATTATTTTGTTGAGTTCAGTTGACATAATAATGTTGAACATTACATTGCAACTTCATATTGTGCATAATTTAAACACAAATTTCTAAGTGTAATTGTATGTGTTTTTCAGTAAAAGGGAAATACCTGTTAGTGTTTAATGCTGTTATGTTTGACATTTTAAAGAGTTTATGCTAATGCTAGAGACAAGTACAATTTTACTTGTTCATTACATATACATGCTTAATAAGTTACATTTAGCATGTGCTATGATAGCTGTGGATTCGAACTGAAAAAAGATATTATAAATTGATTCTAGGCCCACAAATACCTGGAGCAACTTAAAAATGTGTTTAGGTTACAAATTATTAAGTACTTCTAACTCAATGTAGTTTGTTGGTTGAACACAATTTCATTAGAAGTTGTCATACATCACACACACACACAAAAAAAGGATGCAAACTGTTGCGTTAATTAATTAATTAATTAATTTATTTATTTGAGCTAACATTTACTATCCGGTCTCATGGCAAATACGTACCCGGGGGCATATTTTTGCAAGATGCGAAATACGTACCAATAAGTACATATCACTGCAGTTTCCAAAAAAAATGAACACTAGAGGCAGTAAAACTCCGACACCTTTTAAATTATTTTCACACAGAGTATGATTTACAGAGTTTCGATTAATAAAGCGTAATTTTCACACAATTACTTGAAGAGTATTGTCACGAATCCGGTCCGTGGGCTTCAGGCCGATTGCCACTAGAGGTTATTCTCCCATTACATTGACTCACACCACACAGACTGTTACACATCACCCTGGACTGCATTTCCCATCAACCATTGCACTGATTACACACACACAGCTGAATGCACTGATCACACACAGCTGAATCCAATCAGACATGCTACATAAGCCATGGACTTCCGCTTTCTCACTGCCGAGTATTGTCTAGCGTTTTTCACTCTCCAAGTGTTAGCTGCCTTATTGAGCCATTCCATGTTTATGTCCTGTTTGGTCTCTAGTATTGTTCTGCGTTTTCCACTCTCCTAGTGTTAGCTGCTATATGGAGCCTGTTTATTGTCTTAGTTTTGTCTTTTTCATAGTTCCTAGTTTAGTTTAGTCTAGTCTTGCCTTGCCTGTTTTCCCGTGTATATATCGCTGTTTTTGGATTGCCCTGTCATTTTGCCGTTTGGACTCTGTTTGCCCATGCCTGGACCTTTTCCTGTGTTCCTGGATTTATCCCTCTAGTCTCGCCCTTTTGATTTGATTGTTCGACCCTGTCTGTGTTTCTGACCTCTCTGCTTTAAATAAAGCTTGCACTTGGATCCGCACGTCTCAAGTCTCATCAGCCCCGTTACAAGTATTATGTTGTGACTTCAAAACATTTTTAATATGCTGGGAGATTTGAAAACTGATGCTTTTGATTGTTAGCAGCGCACATATCCAGCTTCGTATCGATGGGTTTTCATAGACGATAGGTTTGTTCGGTAGCTCACGGAGTACGGAGACATACTTGAGAGGCGAGGAGCTCCGGTTCGAATCCCGTGCTACTACGGTTCATCAAAACATTTCTAATCTGCATATAAGGAAGTTAAAATGGCACGGTTGCATCAAAAAATGTGTTTTATATCAGTTTTGCATTTGTTAAGATTATCGGGTAGGTTTAGGGTTGGGTTTGGTGTAGGGCATATTTCCAACACTACAGAGCATTAACTTTTAGCGACAGTCCCCGGATATTTGAATTCTGAATCGCCGCAATACGTACCTGAAGAAGCGTTATAAAAACACAGCAATACGTACCTATATCAACGTAATAAAAACGTGCCAGGGTTGACATATTGAACCCATGTTTTAGCGCCACTCAGTGGACATTTCTCTTTGAAACTGCGGCGAAACATGCAGTAAGGTACGTAAAAACGGTGTTGCAGAAATGTACGCAGAGGTACGTATTTTTATGAGACTGGGTTGAACATTTAGAATTTATTTAAACTCTGAATGTTGAAAACAGATTGTCTGTATTTTATCTCTTTCCCTGGCATTGACAAGATTTTTCAGCATTTATGACACAACGCTTCCCTGCCATTGACAAGTTAGTACAGCAATCTGTGTTTTCACTGCTAGGGGGCGCTGTTCTGAACAAATCTTCTGAAATACACTTGAAAGAGATGATCTGTGTAAACCAGAAGGATCATGATCATGATCACCAAAAATTCAACAGCATCTGAATCAACATATCGTAAATTGCCAATTACGGATTTTACCGATAAAGATAGCTAGGTTGGACCACAATGCCCGATACCGATTAATCAACCTATAGTTTTTTTTAATGGATACTGAACGAAAACTAAATTAGTGCTTTACTATTTTTAATCGTGATTAATCTTTCTGTGTACATACTATATGTCTGTGTACTGTGTATATTTATTATGTATATATAAATACACACACATCCATGTATAAATTTAAGAAAAATATGTTATGTTTATATATAAAATATATTTATATATAAAATAAATTATATGAATATAAATATTTTCTAAATATATACTGTATGTGTGTGCCTTTATATATACCCATAATAAATATACACAGTACACACACATATATTATGTTCAAAAAAACTTGTATTTATTTATTACTGATTTATTTATTTATTATTATATATATAATTTTTATATAATTTTATTCCAGCTAGTTTAACGTTTTGTTTAACTTGATGTATTAAAACAATTAAAATGGAAATGATAAATGAATAAAAACTATATAAACATAAAAACAATAACTTATAAAAATGCCACAAAATGACTAAAACTTTAACTACAATTTAAATGAAATTGAATACTGATGATACTAATATAACACTTTTTTTGTGTGCAAGAAATCCATTAAAAATTAAACAATTACACACTATCTGGACTTTTCTTTTACTCTACCCAAGGAAAAAAAATGAATGTTAATTTAGAATTTCAAAAATGTTCATCATATCAGATGTGTATTCAAGTCACTGTCTGTATGAATTACATTTTTTATGTATTTTTGAATAACTAACCTTACTAAACCTAATCACCCAAGAAGTCAGATATGAGATACATATCAGATTTAGAAACACATTTGCAAGTGGCCAAAATCATATGATAAAAAAAATCATAAACTGGTACTTTTCTAAAGGTAAAAAAACAAACAAACAGATAAAGGCATTTGTTTTCTATGCACAGGGAATTACGGTCACACAAAGAGCGATTAAATGGCTAAAATGCTCCTCCACCATCATTCCAACTTCATCTCAAAGATTATTACTTTCCAGGACCTTGTATGTGATAATTGCTTTAATTACAAACCTCTAAATCAGTTCACTTTAATTACATTTACACTTCCATGTTAAGACAAGCCCACAGCTTCATGTGTATGCCACTAAACTGCAATTACTGTGAGCCAAAAGGCTTTGCTGAACAAAGCAACCGACGACATCGGTCTAAATCAATACTTCATCGACACATGGACAGCAGAGACTGTCCATCAATTAAATATCTCAGCCCTTATTTTATCCTACATTGCTTCAGTGCATATTTTGCTCCATGTGCAATGCCAACATCTGTATCATTCTATAATGCCAATGCCTTTGCAAATGTGACTTTTGCTGTATTTTATGTTCCTGGATCAACAAGCTGAGCTCTAACAAAAATCCGTAACATCAGTGAATGCAGCATTGATGTAAATCCTGTAAACTGACTTTTCTCCATGTAAAAAGTCCCTTCTTATTCTTACACATATCATGCATAAATTACCAGATTTAACAGCATTAAATGATCATGACAGGAGTCCATAGAGCTAAACTCAAAATGATCCCAGAGCATTTCTTTAATGCTTAAATTAGTGCCATTAAAAAGACATTCTCCATCTAATGGCAATATTCCATTGCACTACAAGTCTAAGGATATTAGTCACCAAAGTGCCATTCATTTTAACACCCCTAAAGTAATAAAGTACGTAATAAAAATGACTGTGGTCATGAAAGCTTACCGGAAAGTACAGGAGGAGCGCTCCAAACAAGATGGCCTCTAACAGGATGAGTCCTGATGCTCTGATACTCTGAAACACATAAAAAACAACATCACATTGGAAAACCTCTCTCTTTAAACTATTCTCTTGCTAGAAATGGGTCAGTGGAAAGCCATTCATTTGTGACTACTGCATAACTTATCCCTTTGTGCACAAATGCATTCTCCTAGGACTATTCTAATGTGTTTATAGGAGTTGATTCATCTTTGTTCTTTTCAGACTGATGCCTTGCCCTAGAACAACCCTGCTCTGTTTAATATTCGCTCAACATTAACTTGATTTCATTTTAATCCACATGTGATTGACAGGCAATCATAACGCCAAATCCACCATCTTGCCTGACAAACAGATCAGTCAGGAGAGTAGATTCACTTCGGTGGACTTAAACTTGAAAAATGGTGTGTATTGACACGGTTGAAATAAAATACGTTATGATGTTCATTCCTGTTTACTTCGTGCTTTACGTAAATATGGAAAGACAATTGGTTCACGTGTGTCTTGTAGGGTTGGGCGATGCCTATAAAATTGGCATCGGATGATGTCTACAGTGAAACATTGCGGTGGACGATGACATCGGCGGGGGCGAGCGGGGGGAGGGGTGTGGGCGAAGAGTTAGGGGGTGTGCCCGAAGCGTGAATCCTTCCTTATAAGGGAAAACACGATTCCTAACACATGGAATACTATAGAACCACTGATCTATAATAGAGATTTATTATATATAGATCAGTCTATAGAACTCATTATAATCAGTGATGCTGTCTACACTGGATGCGGCGTGCCATGACAAATCCCCGACAGTAAACTGCTGCCGCGTTCTATTTATGACGTGCTGACACAAATTTCAAATGATTTTCAACGGTCGCTTTGTCGCATCCAGTGTAGACAGACTTTAGCTGATGCGGCGCGGCACGACATGATAACTGTCGCGTCCGGTGTAGACACGGTGTAACGGTTGCCTGTTACATTACAGTACATACAATTTCACTTACCACATAAAGAGAGTAAGGAGAGATGACTGAGGATGATGGCGAATGATTTGCAGATAATCTTGTAAAATGTGTGGCAAGTACTCCCGCTCCATAGTATAAACAGAGTACATGCGATCATGAATCTTGAAAGTGAAAGGGGAACTAAAAGTGATCTTGCATTCAAAAGCACGATGCCAGTTTCAATGCCAGGTATAATAGCGGCTCCCTGATGCCGAAATATATATGTAGTATAATAACCAATTATATTACTGCGAGGAAAAATATTGAAATATATACGGTATTTTCCTCCCATCTCGTATTTATTCCCTTTAGGGGTTCTGCCTACATGTCATTTTCTTTTCGAACACGGTATTGGGATGCAGGGGGAATGGGGGGGGGGATCACGATGCCGGCTCAACATCGTGATGTCTATCAGCCATAGGCGATGGACGATGGCATCGTCTATCGGCCCAACCCTACTGTCTTGTCTGTCGGAGTTTTGTATTTTTTACTGTATGAGAACATGGTGTGTAGTGTGGGAGAGGCATGGCTTGTTGAACAAAGCAACGGTAACTAAGGAGGGCGGGTTTTTGTGAAGGGTCAATTGACCAATCACTGTATTGCCAAGTTCAAGCGGCACACGTGAACCGATCGTCATTTCAAAGCATGAAATGTACATGAATGAACATCAGAACTTATTTTATTTCAACCACGGAAAGACGGCAATACACAATATCTTTCCAGTTTAGGTCCACCGACATTAATCTACTCTCCTGTCTGATTTGTTTGCCGAGCAAGATGGCGGATTCGGCGCTATGATTGGTCAGATTGACTGCCAATCAAGCTCTTTGTGAGTGGTCAACTGCAATTGTTAGTGAAGGTTGCACTAAAATGTCGCAATGACAAAAATTACAGTGAATACTGCACTAAATTAAAAGTTCAAAAGTTACAAATAAGTTACAATATTGATGCTTTAACCCTCTATGGTCCAGTGTAATTGATAAATGCTATCTCAGGGGAGGAAAACTCAAATGTGAAAAGTGGTCACATTACCCACAGGTGTCCATTTTCTTTATTATTAATTAGCCTAATTTACTATTATTTTTTCTCTGTGTGTGGCACTGTGGCTTGTATATGTCATTTGGGCAGCTGGCTCAGGTATGTCTCCTTTAAAGCAGAGAAAATGAGAATTCCATTAAGAGGCAACAGGTGAGCTGTCAAATGCTTTCTGAAATCAAACGGCCAATAGAAAGCACTTGACAGCGTGAGCTGAAACAGAGCAAAATTTCTAATCCTAACTCTGTCGCTTTCATTTAGACTTCTCCAGCATTTATGGATCTCTTTCAGGCAGCGCCCAGACGGAGTATGCTTCCAGAGTAAATTAAAATGCTGGCACTATCAAAACTGAGTGCCCTACATATCGACAGCCTAAACGGCGCCTCACTGCAGGGATTAATGAACCTTCCTCGCAGTCAGTGTGAATCCAGTCTACTATTACTCAGGCCACAGTCTGCATGTCTGCTCAAGCTGAGACAGTAGCATTTGTGGCATACACTTCTGAAATACTCTCTATATACATTAATAATGTCCTAATTATAGTAAGCTGTCCGGATTTTTAATCTGTACAGACTCCTCCTGAGAAAGAAAAAAAATCCTAATGAACCTATAAGGAGAGACAATCATGAGTTTGGACATGATATTAACTGACATCATTGAAGAGAAGGTCAATGTTAAACTACAAGTTGAACTGAATCGTGCTGGCATTTGCCATAAGTGACAGCTAAAAATAAAACAAAATTAGGAATAAAATGTTACAAATCTTAAAAGTTCAATTAACCCAAAATTTAAATTCGGTGCTTGCTTGACATGCGAGAACCAATGAGGTTCTTTCTTGTGTGTCAAGCAAGTCCGTTTGAGCTAAACTAAAGCTTGAGAATTAATTGGCATACCCCTTACATATGATACAATGGAAAACACCATGACACTGCAGATGAATAAGATCTATCTGTGAAGAACAGCTAGACACAGATAGATCTCCCTTTCCTTTCCTAAAGTAATAGTTTGCAGCAAATAACACCTCTTTTTCCTTCCTCTGTAATTCCTCTGCAGTTTTTGTCTCTTTCCCTCTAATGGTGCAATCCATTCATTTAGTCTCCCGGAACTCCATTCTCTCTGTCCTTTATCAACCTTGTTTGAGTCTCAGCCTGTTTCTGCTCTAAATATCTCCTTAATTAACTAATATAAGCTTAAAATATACCATTTCTTATCTCCTTGGCATGCTGCCTAACATTTTGAAGTAAAATCAATGTCCAAAGTGACAACCTACAGTGATTAGTATATTGTACTTTTGCAATTGTTGAATTTAATTACACATTCAACAGAGCAGAGTTGACAGATGGAAACAAAGATATTGAAACATGAAGAAAACCCAGGCTCACTGCAAATATGTGCCTCTAACTGCATTTTTGCAAATCTCCAAAAACGTACCTATACTGTATGTACAATTCACTGCGGTTTACATCTGAAATGAACACTAGAGGAAGTAAAATGCCAACAATTTGTATCCCTTGTCACAAAATAATTTTGATTACAAAGGCAGATTATCAATTAAGTAAGACTTGTTTTCACGTGGTTCCTTGCACAATATTATATCCTAACGAAAGGAAAAAAAAGCTTTTGCTAGTGATTTAATTTGATTTGAAACTAAACTTGTTTTTGTTAATTACTATCGATTAGGTATCGAATAGGTGGAACATTATTTTCAAACGCAGTGAAGTTTTTAGCACCATTCACCGAATATTTCATTTCTTTTGGATACATTTTAACACGCTTTTGGTGCCACTCAATGGACTTTTCACTTTGAATGTGTCGCAAAGCGTGCAAGCAACAAAAAATCATTTTGCTGAAATGTAGCCACAAGCATGTATTTCCAATAAACCTGGTTTGCACAATATAGATTACACTTGCAACTCTAATGTATCTCAAAACCATCTGCTTTCTAATTTAACAGGGAATAAAATGTCACTACCTAACACTCGGTATTCAAGTGACTAATTGTAATGTAACTCAGCATGGAAACACCCCGGTGTCAATAAGAACAGGATGTGCTTCACGGAAACAATTGCCATCTTAATTAGCTCCCTCCGGCAGCACACGCTCACCTTGTTCCTGCGGAAATGGTAGAGCAGCACCATACTGATGAAATCCATGAGCATGCACAAGCCCTGAAAGGAGAGCACTGCCATACGCAGGGCGCCTTCACCCCGGGCCACACAGGGCGCGTCGTCCTTGCAGAAAGCACAGCCTTCTTGGCAGGGCAGACAGTAGCTGGAACTTTCTGGAACATCCCTGTGATGTGGCAAACTCTCCTTGCCCTTCCCAGTTGCTTTCCCTGGAAAACAAATCAAATAATATTACATTATGCTCATTTAAACAACTCTGCATTACATTTGCATACATTATAATCACACCCACAAAAAAGTGCAAACAATCGTGAAATTAGCAGCACAGACGTGACATTTAAAGCGGTCCAGCCCACCCTCCCCTCCAGTGATTGGTGGTCTCATCAGTAGGCAACTCACGCCGTTTCATGTGCTAGCCAGGGTGGATGGGTGTGTACACACCATCTGGGCAGTCACTTTGATGCACCAGTTGTTTCTGCCTCAGTTACAAATCTCACATCTTTTCATGATGACAATTTCATGGTATTCAATAGTTTTACTTTTTTGATTTCTTAGTGAGATATCACTAAGAAATCAAAATATTGAAAATTTAAAATAAAAAACGTATTTGCTGTTTAATGGCAGTCAGTGATTACCCACACTGCAAGATAATACACTGTAGAACAACTAGTTAGTGGCACCAGTAGGTGACAACAGTGGGATTTTAATGGTGAATTGTATAATGTTTCCTATGCTACAATATGTTGCAAGGTCATGAGTTTGAATCCTTATGCATGAACAGAAAAAGTGTATACCATGAATACAGTGTAAGTTGATTTAGATAAAGAGGTCTGCCAAATTTAAATGTACAAAAATATATGTGACCCTGGACCACAAAACAAGTCTTAAGTCGCTGGGGTATATTTGTAGCAATAGCCAAAAATACATTGCATGGGTAAAAAAATGATAGATTTTTTCTTTTATGCCAAAAATCATTAGGATATTAAGTAAAGATCATGTTCCATGAAGATATTTTGTAAATTTCCTACTGTAAATATATCAAAACTTAATTTTTGATTAGTAATATGCATTGCTAAGGACTTCATTTGGATAACTTTAAAGGCGATTTTCTCAATATTTAGATTTTTTTGCACCCTCAGATTCCAGATATTCATATACATGTATCTCGGCCAAATATTGTCCTATCCTAACAAAGCATACATCAATAGAAAGCTTATTTATTCAGCTTTCAGATGATGTATAAATCTCAATTTTGAAAAACTGACACTTAAGACTGGTTTTGTGGTCCAGGGTCACATATTTTCTACTATCTCAAACCATTTTGCACCCACTCTCAATCATTACAATCAAACAGGTCACTTGTGAATAATGACACTCACTTACAGGCTGCAGGTTTGCTGTCAGCCCAATATACAGTAGTTATTATCTGCTTCATTCTTTAATAGCAGACTTTTTATATTAAATTCACTATTAAAACTGTTATTGATTGTTTATAACAACAGGATTCTTAAGAAGAATTTGCAGAGCAGTAGGTGCTACACACAAAGATTGACAGAATTTTATTATATCCTAAATTGTATTCTTATATTGTGAGTTCCTCAAACCTGGTGTGAACTCTCTTCATGACCTAAGTTTAAATGTGTACAAGGATGACTAAGTAGGCTGTGTTGAAGAAAAAGAGTAGAAGACTTTGAATATAGTGCTCAAGTTGTATGGACTGCATTCATGATATTTCTGTTGTGCTTTTTATATACTTATCTTTAGGGCTTTTCACACTGCACTTTTTCTTGGGTTACTGTCATTCTAAATCCAGCTTTTAACCTTGGGTAAAGAAACATTTCACACTTGCAGTTTAGTAGTGGGGACTTTTCACCCGAGGTTATGAAACCCTCTTAATCCTCTTATCTTGTGACTCATATTCACATGTTTTAGATGGTCACAGAATCTCTGCACATTGTGTAAACAGTTGTTTCAGCATTTGAGGGGAAACATGTCAAATGGGGAAGGAAAACAAGTTAATTGGAGTTAAGAAGAGACTGTTTTATTGTTACCTTTGTAGTCTGAAAAGTCCGTAAAGGAAAAAAAAACAATATATAATATGAGGATGTGCAGTGCTAGAGCAGTTATGTAAACAGGTTGCATGCTGCGTTTGTTCATTCAAAGGCACTGACAGTGCAAATATGAAAGTTAAGTTACAGGGATAATCTGCAATATATACCAAGGATTAATGGTCAACTCTGAGTAAATTATGAGAAGTGTGAAACGTGACATAACATAACCCAGAATTCTGTTTACCTGTGATTTAGAATCTCCCAGGGTTAACTATTTCAAGTGCAAAAGCCTTTTTTTGTGTGTGTTTCACGAAAAAACAAAACAAAGTCATACAGGTTTGGAACAACATGAGGGCCTGACTTTTCATTTTAGGTGACCTGTTCCTTTAACGTTATCTTACTATGATATATGGAATAAAAATCTAACTGATGGCATGAGAAATAGATAGATAGATAGATAGATAGATAGATAGATAGATAGATAGATAGATAGATAGATAGATAGATAGATAGATAGATAGATAGATAGACACACACAAAATATTGCATTCTTAACATAAACCGGGATAGTGAAGGCCTGTAAGACATCAACATTATTTATCCAGAAAAATAGTTTTACAATCTGTTCTTAAAGCAGATAAAAGTTTCTGACTTTCACCACAACTACAAACTCATAGCAAAACTATTCAGTGCTCCAGGCCAATTTGAATAGTCTTACATAGCCAGAATTCTTAGAGCATAATGCCAGCCTCACAGTGCAAACAAACAATGGAAAATAAATTAACCTCTGTGTATAAAGTAACAGTTTTGAGAGGGTAGTATAAAATATTAAAAATTAAAACAAATTAGAATTGGATAATGTTGTGTTCAGAGAGGTGTGAAGGAGGGCTGGAAGGAGAGCCCTGTGGGTGTCAACTGTGCTGGGGTGGGGCCCCTACTGAGGGCCAGATACTGCCAGCATACTGTTGGTCACATGTCTCTCTCTCTCTCTCTTCTTGCTTCTGCAAGTTTTTGTAGTGTTCATTGTGGGAAAACCCTAGAGTGACAGGGGTTTCTGTGCAGAGAACTAATTCATTAAAGGGTTAGTTCACCCAAAAATGAAAATTAGCCCGTGTTTTACTCACGTTCAAAGCATCCTAGGTGTATGTGACTTTCTTCTTTCAGATGAATCCAATCGGAAGGGCTTCCGCATATGACAGTCAGCGGAAGTGAGAAAAAAAAGTGTTTACTACGTTTGAAATATGGATATGTATCTTACAAAACTGCATTGGATTCGCTACAGGAGGCCTTTATTCACCCCCCGGAGCCATGTGAGGGACGTTTTATTACAGATGCACACACTTTATTTCACGTCTTCTGAACTGTTGACAACCAACACCTGCTTACCCCCATTGAAAGGCTTGGAGGGGCCAGGATAATTTTTAATATAAGTCCCATTGGATTCATCTGAAAGAAGAATGTCACATACACCTAAGGATGCTTCGAGGGTGAGTAAAACACAGGCTAATTTTCATTTTTGGATGAAATAACCCTTTAAACATAAGGGGTGTGGTCTTGTAGTGCTCCAATGAGATTAGAGGCAAATTACATCATGTATGCTAAGTGCTCAAAAACTTTGTTGTGCATGTCTGAGAGGGTAGAGTAAAATATTTATACAAGATATTGCATCTAAACTGCACAGCGGTTAAAAACTGAAACTCTGGAATTTAAAATATAATTTAAACTAGAAAGCACTGAATAAAGGAATAAAGAAGCCAACTGAATAAAGAAGCCAATAAAGCAAAAGAGACACATCAAATGCTACAGCATTTGGAAATCCATAACTTTTCAGACAAGTTATGGTAATAATATAATTTGTAGTAAAACACTTTATTACATTACAAAAAAAATTTTTTTTTTTTAAAGCAAATTAAAATAGACTATATATACCAGCCAAAAAGACCACAAACACACAGAGCCAAATAGAGAAATTACATATCAGTCTGGAAAAATTCAGCTACGCATGACTGCCACCAAATATAGGCTATTAGTGTGTGTGTGTGTGTGTGTGTGTGGACGTATAGATGGATAAACATATGGACAGACAGAATATCAATAACATTTTCATGAGAATGTGGTTGCAGCCTAATTATGAACATCTAACATACATTTTGTTCATAAAGTTCATATCTTGTTCTGTCAATATGCTCAGCATAGCACTTACTACAGTACAATATAAAAACATCTGCTATAAGAAATGTAATGAAGATTGCCTGAAATTACATTTTTTCTTCTAAAACAATACACATACACTACTCCATAACATTTTAACATACAACTTACTTTTAAAGCCATTGACTGCAACTCTGCTTGGATGATAAAAGCCGCTTTTGCAGTGACATTTATACTTGTCCAGCACAAATCCATGACCTGGGATGGGCAAACACTGTGGAAAAAAGAGAGAGAATGGAAATATCAAAACTGTACCTTCAGGAGGCAAGAAAATATACCTTGGAAAAAGAGTTTTTTTTTCATCTCCAAATAAATATATACACTGAAAATGAATGAATGATGTAGGAATTTTTTAGGTCTCTCCAGAGATGCTCAATTGGGTTTAAGTCAGGGCTCTGGCTGGGCCATTCAAGAACAGTCACAGAAGTAAAAAAAAAACACATTTATGCAGCATGTTTGTATATGATTCAATATAGAGGTTAAAGGTTAGATTCAGTAAAGAATAACTCAATGTTACTTGCGGTTTCTTTGTAATCATTTGTGAAATTTACTAGCAATTTCTAAGTGAAAAGAGTTTCAAATGTAATTCCTACATCATTCATTCATTTTCAGTGTATATATTTATTTGGAGATGAAAAAAAAAACTCTTGATGTTGCGTTAAATATGTTTTTGCACATTTTATAAAAGGATGAATATATTCTTCTAAAATAAATAAATTAATAAACAATGGGAAACATCATTTTTTAAAAGTTGCACATGAGGTTTAAAACCAAATATGTGACCCTGGACCACAAAACCAGTCTTAAGTAGAATGGGTATATTTGTAGAAATAGCCAAAAATAAATGTATGGGTCAAAATTATAGATTTTTTTTATGACAAAAATCATTAGGATATTAAGTAAAGATAATGTTCCATGAAGATATTTTGTAAATGTCCTACTGTAAATATATTAAAACTTAATTTGTGATTAGTAATATGCATTGCTAAGAACTTCATTTGGATAACTTTAAAGGCGATTTTCTCAACATTTAGATTTTTTTGCACCCTCAGATTCCACTGTTCCACTGATTCCACAAAGGACTATCTCGGCCAAATATGGTCTTATCCTAACAAACCATACATCAATGGAAAGCTTATTTATTCAGCCTTCAGATGGTGTATGTAAATTTCAAATGGACCTTTATGACTGGTTTTGTGGTCCAGGATCACAGTACCTATAGCAAGATGAGATATTGCAGTACTAAATATAGTACATACTAGTGATATTACTAAAACATACTTTTATCGCAAAGTTCCAAACCAAATCTAGCGTGTACTAACAATATGCAATATTAATGTCAGTAATAATATAATACTAGCTATATTCACACTAGAAAATACTATTTTAATGGTTAAAAAAGTTTCAAATCAAATATAGTACCTAGAATTATGCAATATTGCTATCGGTAATAAAAAAGTAACTACAAGAGATATTCATACTACAGCATACTTTTTCAACAAAGTAAGTTTCAAACCATATACAGTACCTACTGGCGACATGCCATTTCAGACGTAGCTAGAGTGTTATTTTTCAGTTAATATGCTTTTGTAGCTGCCTCTGCAAGCAATACACAGCAAGACAGCTCTGGTTTGGAACAGAGCGAAAATTCAGAGCTATATAGCTTGTACTTTATTGCTTAATTATAGGATCTACACAGCTTCTTCTCTGTCAATAAAGACAAAGGACTAACTTTCTACTAATAGCAAAGAGCCACTAGGGAGGCTGGGCTGCCGACTCTAGAGCTGCAAGCTGTTCAGCAGGTTCAATATAAGAGCGGTGTGAGTTTGACTGAACTGATTTAAACAGTCCTCTGATATATAATATTCAAACAAGTACAGTTTTGGCACAGATTTCCTCGCGTGTGCCAAGACATAATTAATATCTGAATTAAAGACAGACTCATTTGCTGAATTCAAAAAGAAAATTAATTTAGTATCTAGAGGTTTCCTTCATGAAACAATAAGTCAAAAGCGGGAGTGTGTAATCATAATCCTCAGTATTTCAGGCCTGAGTGTTTCGTGACTGCAGTCCAGGGCCCAAAGCAGACATGTTGACCCCAGCTCAATACCGATCCACTCCAGCACACACTTAACAAGCTATGAAGGGCCAAAGCCTTCATATTTGAGCAGAACAGTAGCAACATCAGCCTTAATGAAGCACAGAATGGTAGAACACTTACACAAATCCATCTTTAGAGAGAAGAGGGCTCCATTTCTGTCTTTCATGCTTCTATAGGATCAGGGTTTGAAGACAGATAGCCACAGGAGAATGGCCAGAGAGCATTATGAGCTCACAGCTAAATTATAAATATATAAATTACAAGTCATTTTCAGCAGCATGTTTTCAAAAGGCTATATTGGCAGTAACAGTAAAATATTGTTGGCACACTGTAGCATAAACGAGTGTTTTAATGACCTAAGTTCACTCAGTATGCAGTAAACAGAAGGGAGTTATCTGGAGTGAGAAGTTTGTTGATGATGCACAGTGAGAAATCAAATTTTATTTCTGGTTCTGTTTGCACCTGTAATTAGCAATGCGTGTTCTTAGAAAAAATATAAGTTACTTAATATACTGTATATATATATATATATATATACATATATACACACACATACAGGTTTTAAGTCAGAGTCAAAGTCAGAGTCAAAACAAAAGCTGAACAACTGTTCACTGGTTTGCCATTAATCTGGTTATTGTTGTTATGACTGTCCTAAATATTTAGAATTTACATGTATTCTCCACTTAGCCATCACATTGTGAGCTATGGCTTTTATCCTTAGCCAGGCCGAGATCAAGCATATCTTGACTTCCAGTAAAGAGACAGCAACACTCCCAATATTATTCATTGTGTACTCCAGGAACTGACCCCTTGAGCTTCAGTCAATTCCTGCAATAAAAGCTTCAGGAATCACACAACTGATAATAGCTTCTGCCCGAAATGAGAGAAACAGACTCTGGCCCACACTGAGAGGAAGGGACAGGATCTTCTGATAGAGCGCGAGCTGATGCAATGAGTATTGAGCAGGTGAGAGCTTCAGCTGGGAACACTCTATCCTAATTAAAGCCAGACAGACACATCGTAGACAGAGACACTGGCAGATCTAAGCCGCTGGGAGGACACAGGATGAATTCAGTAGCTCTACACACCTTCACGCTTTTCACTTTTAATCAGAGTGAGAAAGTTAGAAACATTTGAAAGACCATTTGATTGACTAAGACTAGGGATATAGGGATTGGTTTAGATAAAGGAGCTCCGTCTCCACTAGGGCTGCCCTGACCAAAGATTTTCCTAGTCAACTATTAATCATTCATTTAGTCGACTAGTCACACGTTTATGATATTTAATATGTTATAATATTTACTGCTCTGTGCATTCAGAGTGCAGTGGGACACGAGCATCTTCATGTCTTCTCCTGATGTTCCAAAGCAGCTGACACTTGTTGTAAAAGCTCCGAAATGCTAATTTTATCTTTCACGTGTGCAAGACAACTCTTTCCACGCCATTGATGGAATTTTCACTGTTATACAGTAGGAGATGCTATTATAAATCTTCTGAAAGAGTGCTGAATGTCTGGATCAAAACATGGTAAAGACAAAGCAGAAACAAGAGATTGCATATGTAAGCAGATGAATATGTAAAATAACGCGATCATCAAACATTAAACAGCATATAAATCAAAACGGCCAAATGTTATTGAATTAAATGTCGACGAAGTGGTATAGGACTGTGGAAGTTTTGGGAGAACTGTTGGAAGTGATACCATCTATGTTCTGATCATTGTTCTGAATCTGATCTGAAAATAGTCTTAAAAATAGCCAAAAATGCAATTTTCTCAGACTTTGTTCAATTTTTGTATGAAACTTTCCCACATTCAAGTGTTGATAAAAAAATAATGCATGAAGCTAGATTAAAATGGCAAAAGCTCTGTTCTTTTGTTTGACATATTACATGTTCAGATATTCATATAACAAAATATTCTTGGGGCCATGAAAGTTTTGTGAAAATGATGAAAAATGCTGGAGGTGACGGGCAACTTTTTTTCAAAAAGAAGAAAAAAAAAACATTGGCAGAGAAAGAGTTGTTATGGCAATATTTAATATTCCAGAGAACTGCCAGAGAAAGTGAAATTAAATTACCAGTATGTGTGTGTGTGTGTGTGTGTGTGTACACTTGTTTATGCTACATTGTGGGGACCAAATGTCCCCACAAGAGTAGTAAAACCTGAAATTTTTTCACATTGTGGGGACCGGCCTGCAGTCCCCACGAGGGAAAAAACAATATTAAAACTAGTAAATAATGTTTACCTGAAAGTGTAGCAATGCAAACAGGTTTTCTGTAAGGGGTAGGTTTAAGGTTAGGGTTTGGTTAGGGAATAGAAAATACTGTATCATTTGGTTGTAGCGTCTGGACCACTCAAACACACAATATATATTTTGTTAGCTAGATTTAACAAATACTCTGTAACACCCCAGGAAGCCGAACAGGCCCCTGGTTCCATGGCAACCCTGACACCCGATACAGTTACGACCTCCTGGAATTTAGGTGAAGAAAATCGCTTCCTTGCCCATAAGGAAAATCCACAAGGGAAGGACTTTTCTTTGCTAATTAATTAATAGGAAAACCTTTCTTTGAATGAACACACATGATCCTTCAGGTCATTGAGTATATTATTGTCATCGTGTATATTTTCAGTGTCCCTGTAATTCAAAAGGCTTATAAATAATTCAGAATTAGTTTTTTTTTAATCTAAAAATGCAAAAAGTTTCCTGTGAGGGGTAGGTTTAGGGGTAGGGTTGGTGTAGGGCAATAGAAAATACGGTTTGTACAGTATAAAAACCATTACACCTATGGAGAGTCCCCATAAACCATGAAAACAACACCCTGTGTGTGTGTATGTGTGCGCGCGTGTGTGTGTGCGCAAAATGTGCTATATAAATGAACTTGACGTGCATTACCAAAGTCTAACAAGCAGAAACTTGGAAAATAGGTTTGACCAGATTGCAAAACACAATACGAAGCCGAAATATAGCTTAAATTTATGGACTCACGTACCTCTCTAATTCAGCACAAATGTTTATATGGTTGCAATATAACATTTAATTGCTTACCTTATATTTCTTTTGTAAACAGAGCTTTGTACTAAAATTGTGCTGTAATATTCACCTAAAACA